AGTATGGACGGGAGGAGGCAAGGCAGGGAGATTATGAGGAGGCTGCTGCAGTCGGATTAAAGATGATGTGAGACTCTTTGGTGACCTGATCTTTGAGTCAGCTTTCAACGAAACTTTTTCAGGTTTGGAGGGATTAGAGAAACTCATAAGTGAAGAGACCACATATTTAAAGCAGGTGCATACAAGTTTGGGGCAGCCCAAATGTCACCTCCTCTAGGAAGTCTTTACCCACCTGCCTGTGGGCAGAGATCATCACCGTCTCTGGGGCTCACAGCACTTTGTCAATTTCTCTATTACAGCACTTATCACATGCTTGTAATTATTTTTCCTTTGTTGGCTCCTCCTCTATGGGCTCTGGACTCAATGTTAGACACTCTGTCTTATTCATTTTTGTATCTCCAGTGTTTGGAAGCATCAATAAACATTCGCTAAGTGATTGAAGGGGAGAGGGAAGCTGTGTGGTGTAGTGGGAAAGGCACTGAACTGGCTGTCAGGACCTGGGGCTCTATTCCTGGCTCAGCTACTAAGTGGCTGTGTGACATCAAACAGGTCCCCTCACTGCGCTGGGCCTCAATTTCCTCATCTGTAAAATGAGAATAAAAATACAACCCTCCTCCTCAGGGTGATGGAGATTAAATGAGGCAACAGAGCTCACTAGCTGCCTGCCCTGTTTGTGCCCTGCCCTCGTGAAATAGCCTGGACTATTTATTGTTCCTGTCATTTGGATCTCAGTTGCTCTCTCTCTCCTGGTAAGAGCTGAGCTGAGAGCTAGTGCCTTGAAGGAGGAGAAGTTTGTAGCAGTGGCATACATACGGCACAGGTGCCCCCTGTGTTGCTGGAAGGGAAGACACCAAAAAGAGGGGAGCATTTGAGGCTAGAAAGACCTGCTTTTGTTGTGACCCCTAAAGCTGAAGGAGGACCCAAAGTGGGGAGAGGGAGGCAGAGAAGATCTACATCACGTGCTGATGGGTCTGAGGAAGCCCTCAAACAGCGCCCCTAAGCCCAGGAATGTAGCAGCATCTAGAGAAATGCCACTTCCATGAAGACCACTCATTCATCTAATGCCATAACTTCTCAGTGCCTTGGGCTGATATGATTAACTCTATCCTGGTTTTTCAAGTTCTGAGACGTTAGAGGAGATGTAAAAAATTGCAAATGCCAAGTAAAAGGAATACCATTCTGAAAAAATGGAAAATCATGATTTTATTTTTTTAAATTCAGCTAGTTTTATTTTTATTTATTTATTTGAGGAAGATTGGCCCTGAGCTAACATCTGTTGCCAATCTTCCTCCTTTTTTTCCCTTTTTTCCCCAAAGCCCCAGTACATAGCTGTATGTCCTACCTATAGCTTATTCTATGTGGGATGCCACCTCAGCATCGCTTGATGAGTGGTATGTCTGCATCCAGGATCGGAACTGGTGAACCCCGGGCCGATGAAGCAGAACTCGCGAGCTTAATTGCTATGCCACCAGGCCAGCCCTGAAAACCATGATTTTAGACACTGTTATCTCAAGAGATGGCTGTCAATTCCCAGGTGAGATGTCTTTCTAGAAGATCCCTAGTATTGCTCTTTTTACATTGTAGAGGCAAACTTTTCCATCAAACTTGATATATCCCCAACTTATAAGGCATGTGGCTGGGGAAGTCCTGAAATCTGCAACTGATAATTTGTAGAGTTTTCTTGGAATCCCATTTATTAAGTAAGTTTATTTAGCTGCATGGACTTGGCCTTATCACAAGACAAGTGGTCAAGGGAAGATGATGAGAGAGGAAGAAAAAGAGTGGGACTGAGGCCAGTGATCCTTCCCCAAAGGCTAAAGTTAATTCTGGTGTTAAAGCCAGTGACCTTAAAAAAATAATAAAAGTATGTTTCCATTTTGCAAGGCTTTTAAAAAAATGTTGTGTGCTCAGATGGCACCTTTAATCATGAAGAACTTTTGGCTGAGTTCCAGGCTGATTCTGCTGGCACAGAAAGCTCTGAGATCATACCCTATATTCAGTGCACAGAAGAAATATTTCATCTATCTCTGAAATAAAGAGGGGGAAATGGAGCATATTTGAACAGTGTCATAGCAAGACCATACCAGGGTGAAAAGTGAAGGACACCCTATCCATTTGGAGTTACAGAAAGGTACTATTAATTCTAAGTACTTAAGTGGCATTCCCCCCCCCCATTTTCAGAGTTTTTCACAATAAACTAAGAAGCTTGCATAAATCTGAAGGCAATCTCCTATTTCACAGATATATAAATGAAGGCAGACAGATTTTGTGATTTACCTAAGACTACTTTAAATTAAAAAAAGAAAGAAGAGAGGCAAAGAGAAAAAAAAAACTCCCAAAGTAGCAGGTTGTGACCCAGGAGTTTGAGCTCTTACAGCTGAATTTAATCCACACCCAGGCCAAATATAATTCTGCAGGATGGAAATGATCCAGGACACCAGAGCTAACATTCTCTACCTTTGCCAAAGAGCCTGAGGCGGTTTGGTGACAAGCAGTCAGAACCTCACTTCTGTTTCCCAACTGAAAGAAAGCAAGACCAGCATCACACGACAGGTGCTTCCCACCGTGGCAGGGTACTGGGTCAAGCCCATCCAAAGGAAACGTGCTCCCCCTTTATTCATTGTTGCCTCATGCATCACTGTTACTCTTTGGAGGTCTCCTATTCAAAGGTTTATTTGCTGGGCAGTTGGGTCATACAATTTAAGCGGCAAGATTGAATCACAGCTTTACTCCATGTGCCAGTCTTGAGCACTAGATTATATACTGTGCTGCTGCTTCGCTACATCTCCCAAAGCCTTAGCTATGGGAAAGGCCTGGGTGATTGCTCTGTGTATTAGAAATTGAAACCCCACCACTAAATGATGAAAAGTGGTCCAGGCAAAAGCTGCTGTGGAAATCTGAAAACCATTATCTTTTCCACACTTCCTCTCTTCACCTTCATTTTGTTTGGGAATACACAAATACACGGGGGACACCTGTGAACAAAAATAAACCAACTTGCCCTTGACTGATTGTTCTGCCTTTTGAGTTATCAAATGTGAGTACTTCTGGCTCCCAGATACGGTGAAGTAGAGACTGCTGGGAAGCCAGCCACAAATTAGAGTTGATCTTCCAGCATCTTCTACTCAGAGGAATGGTTCAGGATATTCAGATCAACAACATGCCTTGCCCCAAAGTTTTGATCCAGGCTTCTGAACCACATTTGGATTTCAGAAATGTAAGACAGCTAGCATAGAAGAATCCTGATGTGTTTTCTCAGCTCAACCCTGTCCATTCATTCTTACCGACTCTTTTTAATCCGTGACTCTATACCCAGTCCATACACATTTCAACTGTCTGTTCCCAGGTGCACCTTTAAGGCAGGCAGAACCACGTTAGGAGGTATTGGGTGAAACGTGGCAACTCTTCCACAGGCACGAATCAATATAGCAGAGCCATTCAGGGTAGGAGGTTTAGCTAGGGCTTAAATCCCATTGTCAACCCAAACACAATGGGCTTTGTTACTCCTGTGTAAAGAGGAAATGGAGCAGTTTTTGGCCTCTTCAAACTGTATTGTAGGGTATGCAGAATGGCAATTCCAGGCACAAACTTAAGGAGATATAAATCTGATTTTGGCTATTCAGTGTTCCCTAGAAAGTTAATTAGCTGTTTTTGAAATGCATGGAAATAGTCAGCATTTTCATACTGAAGCCTACCATAGTTTTAAGCTTGGGAGGAGGGACTGGGTGTCTGTGGAAGGGGGTCTGTCAGGGAAACAGAATAGACCCCTTTTGGCTAGGGATTCCAACACCTGAGATTTATCTCGGAAATCATACACGCACCATAATTGCAAGACATTTTTTTTCTGGCTTGAGCACTCCAGCTGAGGGGCCTGCTGTGGCGCCCCACTATTTATTTCAGGTGAGGGGAGTTACTTCTGGGTTCAAAAGTCCTTGGGTGGGAAGCGCACAGGAACTGCAAAATGCCTCCTTAAGAAACGCCTCACTGCTCAAGAGAAACCAGGACGCGGCCCGGGAAGGTTGCAGGGGGGCCATGGGCACATCCTCTCACTGAGCGGTAACGGTCCTGCAAGTGGGTTTGGGGATCTCTGCTTTATTTGACAACTTATCATGGGGGTGGGGAGGGCTGTCCAAGGACGGTGAAGAGGTCTGTGGGGAGGAACTCTGCCCGGGGACCTCCTAAGGACCAGAAGAGCGCGCGTCCCGCCAAGTGACAGCACGCGCCCCTCTCGGTCCGCTCCCCTCCCCCGCAGCCAGTCTCCGGGCAGAGGTGATCGCGCCGGCCGGTCCTCCCCCTCTCCTCACTCGTCCGGGCCGACCGAGCCTCAGCGGGAGCCCCGCCTGTCTCCGGGCAGCTTGAGCCCTCGAGCGCTCGCTACAGCCTGTCAGTAACCGCCGTTTGCGCTTTCTTTTTTTTTTTTTTTTCCCTCCTCTTCTTTTCTTTCCCCCTTCTGCCTTTGTCCCGCTTAGTAACTGGGCTCGGACCAATCGCCGCCTCACCGGCCGGCGCCGGCTGGCTCCTAATTGGCCCGCTTGGTGCGCGCAGCCGTCTCCCGCTCCCTAGCTGGAGCAAGGCAGACAAAAGACGCAGGCTCTGGGCTCCGGCAACCGGGATCAGCCAATCACCGCGCACCTTGCCCTCTCTTCCCTCTCCTTCCCTCGCTCCTCTCCCTCCCCGCCCAGCTCGCGTGCTCCCGGCGCTGACTCCTGGCGCGCGGCCAGCGCCCGGGCCGTACCATTCTGATCGGGGCTGGGGGGAGAGAGGATGGATGATGAAGGAGCCGAGGCCTAGAGAGCGGTGGGGAGAGTTGAAAGCCGAGACGGAGGACAGTTTTCTGAACACTTTCTCAGGCACCTGACAGAATCCCAGTACGTCGAGGCGGGATAGAGTGGAAGGGAAAGCGGTGATGCTGGCTGTCCCCCCTGGTCGGCGAGGTTGGGTGGCGCCTCAGCGGGGGAGCGTGGGGGGCGGGGGAGGGTGTTCCCCTCCGCGCCGTTAAAATGAAACTCTAGTGGCTGGAGTCAGGGCAGAGCGTGAAGGGAGCGGGTCCTGGTGGGCTTGCTTACAGCCCGGCGGGAGCGCCCAGCCGAGCACAGCTAACTGGACTCGCCGACCAGCCCCAGTCCCGAGGCTGCAGCAGCTTCGGTTCCGAGCCCGACCGGATCGGAGCCCGAGTCCCGGCCCTTGAGGGGATCGCTCTCTGCAGACCAGTGGGACCCCAAAACTTGAACGCAATACCCAACCCCCCTTTTATGCCTTCCTTTGTCACTTCCCCACCTTCCTTCCAACGCGTTCTTTTTTTTCCTCTTCGTTCTCCCTCCCTCGAAGGACACAAAAGTGGCTTCCACGGAAAGATTTGGAGGCAGCGGGAGCTTTTCTCTGGAGAGCGACTGAGTAGAAGGGATTTTTGGGAAGCCGGTTTTTTAACACCTCTGCCCCCCAAGCTTCTCTGTACCTCTCTGAGGAGAAAAGCCCGTAGATTGAAAGTTCGGGGGACATTTTGCTGGGTGCTGTAGGAGGAGAGAGGGGGAGGAGGACTCCGTCCCCGTCGTGGTAGTTGGCTGGACTTGTACCGGCCGTTGGAAACCCTGAAGTACATTTCCGTGTGGGACTTTTACAGATATATATTTTTAGATTTTTAAATAGCAGATAAAAAATATATATGCTTTGTATATATTTCCTGACGACCTTCCCCTGACAGCGCGATGTACAATACGGTGTGGAGTATGGACCGCGATGACGCAGACTGGAGGGAGGTGATGATGCCCTATTCGACAGAACTGATATTTTATATTGAAATGGATCCTCCAGGTACTTGGGAGAAAAAAAGAATCTTGTGATGAGTTTGATTTGTGTTTAATGAGACCTTGGTGATGTTTTCAGGGCAGAAGTGTTCCTGGGTGCGCTAGCTTTGGGATGAGGGGCAGATTTGCAGTTAGAGCTGCCGGAAAACTGCTTCTGGTTTACACGTTTAAAGTTTGCAGTTAGGACCCTGATCCTATTGTCTGCGAGGGTGGGGGTGGGGGTGGGGGCTGGAGTGCGGGTGGGAGGAGAGACCCGTTTCTTTGATTTCTTTGCCTTTGCGTGTCGTTCAGGTTTTTGTCGTGCCCCCCACCCCTACCCCTCTTTTTTTCTTTTTCAATTCAAGATTCTTCTGCTTGCAAAGGATGCTTTATATCCTAGTCTTGAAGTCAGTCTTTCCCTTTGGGGGAATTCTTTACAGCTTGTCATTTCAGACGTTTGTCTCATTTGGTTCGTTGTGTTCTACCTTCGTTAACTTCTGAAACTGGGTTGCCTGTGTGATTATTCGTTTTAAAACCCCCTTTTTCTCTTGCAGAAACCAAATGCCAGTTAGTGATTTTCAGGGATTGGGCGTTTTTATTCAGTCATGGCCTTAGTCTGAGGTTTTTCTTCTCAGAATATAGTCGCTCAGAAAGATCTATGTGCAATATTTTATTACTCTTTAATTTATGGTGATTTAACTTAATTTATGGGATAGGGTTTAATGTAACTTCAATTAGAGTAAAAAAAGGAGGAACCTTCCTTTTTGTGTGTGAATATATGATGTGTACATACATGTGATGGATTCGAATACACATAATGTAAAGTATACATGTACTGTATTTTTAATTTAGAGCTTTGTCTGAGACCCTTACAGGCATTTTGTGTATCTGCTAGGAAAGGAAAAGGAAGGGAAAATGGAAAAATTGGGTAATTTGTTTTCTTTAAAGTCTACCCCATTTCATGATTATTAGCTTTCAGATTTTCAGACCCTGTTGGCAATTATAGACAGTGCTTTATGTAATGATTTTGAATAAGTAGAAGGCCTTTGTGACTCCTTATTTTTGTTGAGGGTGAATTCGCTGTCTTTTTAAATTGTGTTCTAGCAAAGCCTACAGAATAAATTGTGTGTCATTGGGGAACCTCAATTATTATAAGACTGTGTATTTTTGGAAACGTTTGAAAGGATTCGAGCTGATGCAAGTATAATGAAGTATAACTGTCTTATAGAATGTATGTAGAAATTATTTCCTGTGTCCTTGTGAACAGTGAATTACCCTCTGTTTTTTTTTTCGATTAGTCATAGAGTGTTAAATGATGCTGTATTAAAAACTAGTATTAAATCAACCTTTTTCATTCTTAAAGATCACTTAGAATTTTTTTCTTTTTCCTTCATTGTAGAGCCTTCTTTATTTGCTGTCGTAATTGTGACTGCAGTCCAGATGCAGCTTTTTAGTGTTTTGCAAAGTTTGTAAGATTTGCCACCCATCTATTGTGTGTTTCCCCCTTTGTTTCCCCCTAATGGTAAAGCATCATTTCGGTTAGATGCATTTGTCATTCATATAAATGGAAATTTAGTACATCATTGGTTCCTCTCCTGTAAAGAGTAAGGTTAATAATTCTAGATTTCTGTTATTATAAGAATTATATATTCGAACTGCCTTAGAATCATACTGTATCATATAGTATCTTGCCTTGCAGACATACAAAGGGAATTTGTTGGGCGGAGAGGTGAGTGGGGAGGAGGGGAGAAAATGAAGAAGGCGCTAATGTTTGAAAAATATGGGCCTAGTAGAAAAATATTGGCCAAGTTGAGGTGGGTTGTCCAAAAAAGTTGTCTATTATAATTATGTAGTGATGTGGGTCTTATAAGGTTGCATAGAAAATTCTGATCCAAACTTTGTGTGTTGCATGGAAATAAACTTTTGAGTTTAAAATGTTCATCCTTGAATGAAATTTTGCATATTGAGATTCTATTCAGAATACTGAAAATATGCATATGCTGTTCTTTATTACCCATTTTGTAGCCTTAATGTAGAATACACTTAGTTATTCTGACAGCTTTTTAAAAAGGAAGCACACTTGAGTATGCCAGAATGTTGCTTGTAAAGTGAATGGTTTTTATTGGAAATAATGTGAATGCCAACCTTATTTTGTGTGATAAATTAAGTTTTTGAAACATTTAAAACTAAGTAAATTACTAGCAAAGAGGTTGCAGCATGTCTTGTATCTGTCTTTTTCCTGGTTGCTATCCCAGATCAAGCTCTTATTATTTCCTTCGTGGACTGGTGTGATAGCGCACTGCTCTCCCCGTTTCTACTCTGTGCAATCCACAGTATTAACTAAAGTATCATCTGACGATTTATCTTCCAATGGGAAATCTTCCAGTGACTTTAAAAACCTTCCAGTGGTTTCCCTTTGCCTGCTGAAAAAAGCCCCAGATTGCTTACCCTGTCATATGAGTCCCTCTATTTTTGCTTCCAACCTGATTTTCCAGTCTATTCTCCTCCTAGAGTCCATCACAAGTTCTATGGAAGCGATTTTGTACTTGCTGTTCCCTTGAATGTATGCTTTTTCCTCTTCCTGGGATGCCTTTCCTTCCCAATGGTTACTTGTTGAAATCTTATATATGTTTAGGGCCCAGCTTAGATGCCTTCTTGGCCGGGATGTATGTTCCTTGATCCCTTATGTTAGAAGACATCCTTCCTTCCTTTTCCCTCCCTCTTCTAGGACTTCTCAGATAGAACTTCTTCCATTCTGTCTAGGGTAGCTTCTGCATTTATTTACGTATACTTCCCCCTATGGATTGTCTTCCCACCAGATTATGAGCTTCTTAGCTTACTCAGGGTCTTGCAAGTAGTAGACAATTTAATAAATATGTGTTGAATTAACAAAAACTTAAAGATCACCGTTTCTTTCTAGCCTTTAAGTGCTTTTCTGCTTAACGTCTTTGGTTACCTCATTCCTTGGCTATTGCAATAGCCTAGGGTTAAATAACTTTTGAATTAGACAGTTGTTGTCTTAGGACCCTTAACTGTAATATTAATATTCCAGTTTTTAAAATATTATTTTCATCTTAATTTTAGACTGAATCATAAATGCAAAATTGTTATCTATTATTGCTTCCGGGGGCTTCAAAAACTATTTTTCAAAGGTGTTTCCCTCCAGTCTATGTTTTCAAAAACGACTGTTACCATGCATCCTGAAGGTTTCTAATAACTGCATGGATTGCTACATCTACTATAATTTACTGACAATGTAAAGATTGGATCTGAATGGGAGTTTGATGTCTTAATCTTTATGTATTTCCCAGAAGCAATAGAAATACTGAACTGTTTAGATGAAACATAAAACTTTTTGTTTTGGAAATATTAAGGTTATTGTACGGAGAATTGCTTATGAGTATCTTGGTTAGTCCTGTTGTGATGGGAATTGGGATTATTCCATAACAGAATAGTTGCTGGATGGGCCTCTCAAAGCGCCCTGCCTTTGGTATGGGAGCTATTGGAGGGATTACCAATACATAGCTGATCATGGACTTGTGCCCAAAGCTTATAGATAGTGGTCTATTAGCTCACACTTTAGTTTTGACATTGTTATTGTTTTTATTTTGGGAAGATGTAATAAATGCTTTCTTTTTTAAATTAATGGATACAGTTCTTTTTAAGATTGTAGACTTTTTGTTCTTATCAGGACAAATTTCTTAAATTATTTTTAGGGCAGCAACATCTCTTCAGTAGTAATTAGAAAATTAAAAGTTTTAATTGTTTGGCAAAACATAAATATAGGAATGTCTAGAAAAGTGGTTCTCAATGTTTTTGGTCTCCGTACCCCTTTTATACTCTTAAAAAATTATCGAGGATCCCAAAGAGCTTCTGTTTAAGTGGGTTATATCTATTGATATTTACTGTATTAGAATAAAACTGAGAAATTTATAAAAAATATTTATTTAATTCATTTAAAATAATAAAGCATGACATGTTAATATAACTTTTTTTAATGAAAAAATAACTATCTTCCAAAAAACAAAAAAAGTGAGAAGAGAGGCATTGTTTTATGTTTTTGCAAATAACTTTAATGTCTGGCTTTTTCATCTTTAAAGTCTGATTTAATAGAAGACGTCTAAATTCCCGTGTCTGCTCTGGCATTCAGTCTGTTGAGATAGCACAGGTCATAGCCTCTGGAAAACTCCACTGTACAGTTGTGAGAGAATGAGAATGCAAAAGGCAAATAATGTCTTAGTAATACTGTGAAAATATTTTTGACCTCTTGGACCCTCTGAAAGGGTCTTAGGGACCTGCAGGGGTCTCTGGATTACACTTTGAGAACTACTAGTCTAGAAGTTACCTGACTATGTAGTTTGATGGCCAACCTAGTAAAGTATCTCCTGACTTTTTGAAGCCAGATGAAAAGATTGTTTCAGGAAATTTACTTGCTTACTCTAGCATAGGTGGTATTTTCATCCTGGTAAAATTTAGATTAAGTAACATTCTGATGGAGAACTAGCACCCTGGCCCTGTGGTTAGGGAAAGTATCTGCGGAGAAACACACTGAAGAAATAGATCACCTGCCACCGTGTGGTCCTTACTGTTGGCAGGTTGGGCATTCTACTTCTTGTGTTGAATTTTTCTTTATAACTCTGAACATTTGATGGGTTCATCTCTTATAAATGCTTCTCCTGTGTGTGGTGAGATATTTCTTTTTACGAGCTAGGTGTCACTTTTTAATGATATTGTAGTATGGGATGAATGTTAATAGAATCAAATGATGTAAAAGCCATGCCAATTTTTTTCTCATCTTATTGAAAAAGATTAGTCATTGCTTTCATTTAATATATTATAGTTTAGAGTATATCCAACTATGTTTCATTAGGACTATGGTGATTCTCCATTTCATAATGCTTTTTAAATTTATTCTCATCATTGTTTTCATGCTGAATACCTTTATGTTTTTCTTAGAATGTAGAAAAGATTGGACAAGTTTATGGTCACCATATATAACAAGGTAGGTAGGAAAATAGTTACATATAT